ACAATGTGGCTTTCCCGCCGTTTTACTTTTTTAAATCAGCGCGCTGTCTACTGGCTGGCGCTGCTCGGCGGTCAGTTTGAAATTTAATAAAAAAAAACAAGTAGTGCGCGGTTACAGAATATAAGTTTACTATTTGCATTTATAATGCACGTGTGTTTTATGAGCTGCTATATAAGACCGGTGAAATTAGATCTACTTTAAGAGCAAGTGTGTTGAAAAGATAGTTAAGTAACATTAGACGATGCTCTTCTTATCAAAAGACTGAGGAAATCTTAAGAATACACTATATTTACTAAGTATCTAAGCGTCAAGAAAGTCCTTCAGAGCAGGATATCAAAACAAAGGGAATTGCTTGTCCATCATTGAGTGAATTTGAGATGGCACACGCGTGCGCCACGCGTCGAGGAGCGGAACTAACCTCTCTATGTGCGGCAAGGATTTAATTTTTACATTATAATCCTTCTAATTTTTTTTATATTTTACAACAATAATTATGTATTATCTGTAAAAGTGCTGTAATAATAATATTATATGATGTGATTTGTATTTTAATATTAATCTTATGTCGAAACTCTTTTCACATTCATATTCTTAGTTTTACCAATATTTATGTAAAATTATGTTATCTGTGGTTTTACCATCTTATTTGTGGTTTTACCATATCTATGTAATTGATTTTTAAAAACTTTTTTAATTCAAAAACTTTAACGATTGTTCGTATGATTCTTATTCTTTATTTCATATTACTGTTGTCTGTTAACGTGTATATTTCATCTGTTTTATAATGTTTTTTAAATATCTACTTGTTTATGTTGTGGATAATATTATATGTCGGTTCTTTCATAAAGCTAATGCATCTGCTCGATAACTATATAAAATAAATCAATACAAAAAGGGTAAAAATAAAATGGTATATCTTTCTTGTATCACAAAGTAACAACTCAAATTATATACATAATTTTTTAAATTAAAAAAAGTAGTTTTTTATTGGCCAGCATTAAACCATGGAGTCGACAACAATATATAAAAAAGGTTTTAAATAAAGATATGTACACGAAACTAGGCGCGGATTAATTTGTGAATTGAATACGTATATCGAAACACTGTATAACGTGAATCTGGCCCCTAAACTGATGTAACAAGGGTCTGGGTGTCGTGTTACGACGGAGCCGTGCGACAATTACCCGCCCATTATTTTCGGTTTATGCCAGATTTGATCGAGGGACTCAACGTCGCTCAACTACAGCGCGCCACGTGGCCGCGCTTTTTTTCTAATTGACGTTTGTATGGTATTTGCTGTAGACAGTTTATGGTAACAATAATTACCACTACTTAGTTCTAATTTTATAACTAAGTAGCGCTAATTATTGTTACCACCTGTGTTATTGTAATAACAAAACTATGCCTATTTTTTAAATTTCACGTTATTACCTATAGTTAAAAAGGGTTTTAACGTCAAGATAGGTAAATACCATTATTTACCATAAAATTATTCGCGTTGAAACCCGTTTAACTATATTAATAACAAAATACGCCGTGATGACAATTATTCCAGATAAGGTAGTCATAGGCATTGACGACTGTCGTTGTGAACGCAGCAGTTACCACTCCCACATTTCGCTTGGTATATTTGAATACACGGCAGCAAGTCGCGAAGGCGAGCCTATATAATTACATTTTTTAAATAAATACCAGTATACTACAAAAACGTACACAATTTCTATTTACTATATCATGGAGTTAGAGAACAAAGCAGTATTATTATTATTATTGGAGACGGCCTGGGTAGTCAAGCGATAGCACACCGTCTTAGTTCCAATGGTCGCGGGTTCGATTCCTCGTACGGCACAAACATTTGTACATGAGTATGATTGTTTATTTCTATCTAGGTGTTTTCTATGTATAATATGTATCCATTTACGAAAAAATATATATCTATATATGTATGTATTTGTATCAGTTATTTAGTACCTACAACAAGCTTTAGCAAGCTTAACGTGGGTCTAGATGGCGCTGTGTAAATTGTGCTGAAATTATTTATTGAAGTGACGCCCAAATAAAAAAGAAAGCTAGTAAATTGTAATTAAGAACCATCTTGATCACGTGCTTTCAAACAATATAAATCGCATCATAATCTGCGCTTAAATATTGTAGGTAGGTTTTAAGTGAAAATATTCGCGGGTTCGATTCAGTCAGGATAATTAAATTCATTTGATTAGGTAGTGGAATTACAATCATGTTTGTTATATCTACTTTCATGTCGTTAGATAAAATAATAGATTTTAAAATGTGACGACACGAAATCCCTTCCACTATTTGCCACACAATGTCACAATTTGTCGACCTACAGCCCGCAACGTGTAGACCTTATTGGAAATTTTAATAACGTGATAATATATTCGTATTAAAGAAAACACATGTATAAGAGAAATTATATATATTTCAATATATTTCTTCACAACACAGTTATACCGTACTGCACCACTACACTATTCGTACAAATTCATCGTAATCTATACAGCTAAATCACAATGTCACCAAACTCACACGCAAAGTACAAAACAAAAGTCTAAACCCCAACTAACCTTTTTGAACATCCAAACATTTATGAATTATAAAAAAAATATAGTGAAACAAGTCTCGGAAATAGTTATATTTTTACGACACATATCTCTATTAGGTAGTTAAAAATCCTTAATAATTTTGGACATTCAAACAAATCAGTCTTATTTGGGCACGGTTCAATAAATAAATATTGTATTACTATTTAATTATATATACACAATAAACCGTCGATGTACACCTACGGACATATTCTGGTTTATGATTTTGATAGAATATTGTTTTAACATTACTTTAATATTTTTATATATTATACCTGGCTGTGTTCCTGTAGGTTAAGTTTCGGTGTTAATGTCTCTCTTTTACACGTACTCATCCTTAATGAGCGTCAGAGAAAGAAAGCAAATAACTTTGAAACAAATATACTATCTCAGAAGGCAAGTCTACACTGAAATATAGTGCATCACCATAAACACAGGATCACATGTATACAATTATGAACACAAAAAATTATCTTCATTTGTCTCGAGGAAAGTTGTTGGAGTTTCTTTAAAAAATATTATATTTAATCTGAGTTAAGAATAAAGCTTTGTACGTTGTAACGAATATATTTTTAAATAGTAAAAAAATCGCGCCTAAATGATTAGCGACTTGAATACATTTTAGAGCTTATATAAACATTTATGAATAATTTACTTCCGGTCGCCTAATCATCCTCATTAAAAAAAACCTATCAAAATCATAAACCACATAAAGTTACTAAATTATTGACTCGATATAGCAAGAATTGATTAATGATTATAATATAAAGTAAATATCACTGTAATATCTGGCAAAGCGTTGATCAAACCGACGCGATAAATGTCGTAGGCACCAAATATTTTTTTATAATCAAAAGTCGTAAATATACAACTTCCTTTCTGCATAGAAAAAAGTGTAGTATCCACTGTTATCAATATAGTTGTGCCATTTAGTATCGGTAGTTTTAAAATATACTGTATTATTGTCATGTTTTGTATAAAAAATACTCTGATATAATTACAAACGATAACTCACATTGTACCGCGGTATGCCATACTACACTTTATTGCATTCGTTTGATCAACGTTTCAATATACCATATAATATAAGATCATTCGTACATTATTATTAATTGCTTTTCATTACATTTTGTATACATTTAATTGCCAATTAGTATTCAATTGTATAGCCTCAATATATGACACGGTATTCATATAGTGATGTCAACTAAACATCAAAAATATTATCGATTAATTGGCATAATCGGTATTAAACAAATTTGATACAATAATTCTGATTGCCAATTAACTACAATAATGTATTAATAATTACATTATATAAATAATATAAACACATTTTCTATTCATAATAAAGCTAACGAAAAGCGACAATTTTTAAAGACAACATAACTTTTTTTCTATATGATCTAAATGACTTTAGTATTTTTATCGATAGTTTACATAAATATCGATGTTTAAGAAACACTATATTAAAAATAAAAAATAGACAACCACATCGTTTCTTTATCAGCCTCACGTTTTGTCAAACATACATTTTTTTATAACTAATAATTCCAAAAATCTACCACGACTACCCATTGAGAATTTGTTTTCATTCTAATTTTTTTTATTATTAATATTTCGTATTTTATAAAATTATTATGACTCAGCCGTATAAATGTGACGATCGATTTTTTGACTGACTTCAAAAAATGGATGTTCTATGTTCGATCGCTGTACATGTTTTTTATGTATGTACATAAACATCTTAAATAAAAAATCTTTGCCAATCGTGAACGGATTTGCAAAATTATTTTTTAGCATTTTCTTTGTATGTCATTTTTCATTACATTTATGTATTAGTTAACATATTGTACCATACATATTGTATTATGTTTCTCAGATAAACAAATATACTGATCAAAAGATACATCCTACATTGCTAAAAAATCTACTTTCTTCAAGATTTTCTAATGAAACTTTATTGTTTTCCGTCATAAGACTACAATATTGCTATTGCTCTGTATATTCGTGTGAATATACTAAGGCAGAACTAAGATTATTGCTTAGTCACATTCACGCGGCTAGCGTCACGAAATTATATTGTTACACGCATTTCATCCATTAATGTGGCTAGTTCGTTACTAATTACATATTAAGTCTTTACATTAAACGCTATATTAAATTGAAATTAATACCTACACAATCTAGATCATTCATAAAATAGAGGAAAAAGGACTCAAAAAAAATCATTTTGCTTTCAATCTAATCATATATATATTATTAATTATTTTCGTTCAATATCATTTTACTAATAAATGCTTTTTGGAATTTGTAAATAAGTGATACTTCTATTATGGTATTATTATATTGTGATTTTGATAAAATAATACAAACATCATTATCTTTCGTTCTAATATTAGTCTTTTTATGCGTCACATTGCTCTTTGAATACTATTTTAAAGAATATTTTTCCCATTAAATGCAATAACCGTTGCACCATGTATTTCACTACTTATTAAAGTAAAGTAAAATATGTTCTCCACTAGGCTAAAGTCAAATTGATTTATTTATTTTAAAATGTATTGTGTATCTATAGGATGCAGATTTATATTTTAAATTTATAAATAAGTAAATAATAATTTAAATATTATTACGTATTTCGTATTTCGTTACCCCCTTACCTTCGCTACACAAAGGATATAGCGTGAAAATATAAATTATTACATAGAGCTGCGACTTTTACATTAAATATATTCCTTTTTCCTTTCTCATTCACATTGCACTGTGCTGTAATTTTTCAAGCACTTATATGCTAGTCATACAAACTAGTGCAGGTTTCTTTTATTTTACACAAATACACACACATTCGCATCATTATTCGGCTCTGGACATTGAGCTGTCACAATAGATTGGTGTTGCCATATTAAAAGCTCAAAAACTACTCTGTTTCTTCGACAATATCCATTTACTTGTGCATACAATACATTCAAAGACTGCATAGATTTCGTTCAATTTATTGGAAACGTTAGTTTATAAAAGGGTTAGTTAGGAAATTGCTCCCCTTTTTGTTAGAGATAAGATTTATAAAAAAAGTTACTTAGTTGTATAGAGAAAAAGTGCATCGCATATAAAACATGATTTGTTACATAAGACATATATCATTGCTGATAAATACTATAAATTTGCGGACGAAATCATACGCGTCACTAGACTAGTATAATATATCCCAACATACAAACATCACGCCGGTAGTTAAATGCATAAAACGTCTAAATTTTTTACGGATTTATTTTTGTAAAAAAAACTATAACTTTGTTCGTTTGAGATCAGGCATCTTTATCATTGTACTATCCGCTTTGAAGCTACAATATAGAATGCATATTTTAATACTGAATTATCGTTAACTATCAATATTATAATAATTTTGTTTTGGTCGGAAATCCTCTTTATTCGGAATTTTCTACGAAACTACTGCATGAGGTTTTTCAAGAAGGATATATTAAGGTTTTTTAAGGGTTGGCTTAATGCACGTTGCCACCATCGTAGTATAAAAAAATCTGACTAGCCTTTTTCGTATGTGTAGTGCAGATGTCGCGTCATTGACGTATTAGAACGTCACGTACAACGTATACAAGAAACGTCACGTGCAAATCTTATGAAGAACACCTAAATACTAAACGGGTTATTAAGTGATTAGTAATTATTTCGCGATCAGTACATTGCGTAGCGGCAATATCTTCGCTGCACACATGTTCCACGAACGTTAGAAAAGGCTAGCGTGAACGGGCTCGGTTGAACCTGTCTCTAAAAATACATACATACAGATAACCTTGAATACACAAACTCTGTATTTACATATTAGTAATTAAAATTGGGTGGCTGTTTCATTTCTATCATTTATAGGTATTAAGACATTATTAATATTACCAGTTATTAAGAACCCTAGCAATAACAACCTTTGATAACGTCGTTGCTATTCTCACAAGCATGTCTGTTCTAATATTAATCTAGTGGATCGGTTTAAATATAGAAAAACCGTAATATATATATATATACGATGGACGATTACGGACCAAAACAAAAGTAACACTATACCTTTTACTGCGACTACACACTCCACTTTAAACCAAAATACTCTTCTACAACATCACCACGTCATATATAGTCGAATATATCATATATTTCTAAACAATATCAATATTTTTTAGCATCGCATCACTTCCACAGTGGCGTATAAGGTTATACAATACAAAAACGTACATAGCAGTTATTTGTTTAACACTTATGTACCTATAAAATACATTATTTATATATTTCTACATTCGAATAAAATCTTTACTTTGTACAAGACACGAATTTATAACCTTTACAGATTGAGTGGTTTTCCAAGGGAATGTTATGAAACATATTCAATGCCTTTTTAAATATCATTAAGACTAAGGTAAGAGTCGTGTTGTTAACTTGTGATCCCACATAGTGATGACGTCAGGCCCAAATTTAACCTCCATAGTATATGACCCGGCATTCCTTTCATTCCTAGTTTAGGCGTAATAAGATTTTTCTCCATGCTCTAATAATTGTTTCCCCTAAATATATTCAAACGAATTGATTGATAAGGAATGCAGCATGAATACTCTATTATTAAGGAGGAAAAACTCTATTATTAGGACAGTAGTAGATTTGTGTATATATATATTAAATTATGAATAGTAACATAACATAATAGTGATAATCTCGCGGGACCTATGCTACATCCGAATATTGAAATCACTCGAGTCATTAAATTAATTTTTGATTATTGACAATAATTTTGTTAAACTATATTCTGTACAAATATATAGTTTAGTATATCCATAATTCATTACTCATTTTATATACAATGTATAATCAGGTACAAGGGTGTTGAAACAAAAACGAAGATTTTCACACTCATAAAGAAATAAAGAGAACCATCACTGTTAAATGTAGTCGTTAGTTAAGCGTTCGTTTTTAATGGTGTCTTTTCGACTGTCCACAGGTTGGCTCTAATCATCCAATGTTGGATCCAATATTTTATCATTCAAAAATTCGTTCGTTACTGACATGACTATATAATTAATCCATAAATAAACCATTGTGTTTCTATTAGATTAAATAAATAATTACAATTTTAAATATCTTTTTACCAAAAACTCGTAATAATAACATTAAGTTATTAGTTTTTTATTAAGTTCTAAAGTTAATTTACTCATACATTTGTCATTTTAATTCAATAAATATTTCTTAATTAGAGTATATATTTAATAGTTTTATTTTTAAATATAACTATTTATTAAATATTTATAATCGTTATTATTGCAAATTATTCCCAATATCTGACTTCTATTCGATCCAATATTGGAATATTAGAAGCCACCCATTGGAGAAATATCCACACATTTGAACAAATCACCCTAGCTCTTCTGAGCTGTTCTATGTCCGTCTCGTTCTACCTCGGTTTATATTATAGTGGTGTCTCCTTCCTCCACTGGAAGGCATTTGTTTTGACAGCGGGGTTGGCAGAACTGGCGCTGGCTGCTAGGGCCACGCCCGTGCGTCGAATATTGGCTGCAGCGTTATCTATAGAAAACAATATTAAATATTTATTCATCTTAGAGAAATTATTTTTTTAATATAAATGTAACGGTTCAAAAGCCGGGCAGTTCATGGAAAATAGCAAACGTTGTCCACATATGAACAGGTTATCATATATATCAACCACGGCATCATGCGATGCGCCTCATGCATTGTCATTACTGAGGCCAGTGATATCTAAACTAAATTGTCATATCACATCCTTAAAACCAAAACAGATTACAAAGCAAGCTGCTTAGCAGATATAAATAAGACCATTGTACCCATGTAGATTACTTTGTACAAAGTCTACCTCATAGTTACATCAAGCAGAGCATTAACTTACTAATTGAATGATCAATAATTTTTAGACACAAATCTGTAAATAGTTTATAGAAAATCTGTAGACGACATAAAAACTTAAGGGGCAACAAAAAATTATGCCACTAAACTTATTCCAATTGACATTTTTACTCACCTAGTCCATTACGCACGTTAGCTACGAGTCTCATAGCTGGATTTGTGACTATGCCGTTCCTCTTGCTCTTACTGTAGACAGAATAAAACATTGGTTTATTTCCAAGAAGGTATATCGAATAAAACCCAAGCTAAATCACGAGTGAAGACCCTCCTATATTTAACTACACACACATACATTGCTAACTGGTGCATAATTTACATAGAATCCGGTTTAAACATTGACTATTATATTTATATATTAATTTATAACACATATGTTCGTTGAGTTTTAACTTATATATAGAAATAACTAAAAAATACATGATATATTTTATTTTCAACATATTCCGCTTATGACATAGTGACATTTAATGGCATCTATTATATAGTATAGTAGTTTTAAATTTATGTTATAATGTAATTATGTGAATTGCAACCTTGCAGCCTTGCTGTTACCACTACTAGATTTTCTCAAAAACTAGTTGTATAAAGATTTTTTTTTAATTGAAATTTGATGCTAATTTCAGTTCAAAATATAATTTCTTATGTAAGGATACTAGATCGTTAGCCAGATAGTTGATTTATAACATGATATACATATAAAAAGATTGAAACTCTTCGTCTATAATATTTCTTAAATCAAATGTCTAAAAAATTTGTGATTTATAATAGAAGAACAGACGCGCTACGTATTGTTGATATTATTATGTATATACGGGCGTTACATGCTGAAAAGTGAAATTTTTGTTTTTTATAATATGACTTATACAAATAATTCAAACAGTGCTGATAATTACATTTCAATGTAAATTAAATGTGCTGTCAAATAAATTAGTTCTGTTAAATGAAGCTTAGCGCTGTTAAAATGTTAGATGTAGTTAACACATTAACTTCTTTAATTTACTGTAAAAAGAATAAATAACTTTGTCGATAAAGATATGTTTCGAAGCATTAAAATGAGTGTAGCCTAATTCTTCACTGATCACATTAAAAAGACATTAGAATTGAATACACTTCACAGTATAATATAAATTACCCCCATAACTAAGTTTCATTGCACTAATCTGTTGAAATTATATGATAATCTGTGACCAGTATACTTAGTATTATAGGAATGAAAATATGATTTTGTGTTAATTACTTAATCTTAACTTTAGTTGCAGACATAGTGTGTAGAGTTATCTACAATATATCGAAGTTATTGTGTTAAAGAGTTAGTTTTATACTGTAACCACGTTAATGATTTTTATAATGAGCTTAGAACTAATGTTATTAATACTTTCGTACTTAACACCAATACCTCTAACAATAAAACTATAATTACTTGGCTTATCCATAAAAATCAAACCTTCCACAAAACTAGCTAAGAATACAACAATGATCTGTTATTATCTGAGGTCATATTGTAAATATTCTTAAATTATCTTTTTATCTAGAATAGGCTGAAACTGGTCAAGAGCTAAGTTCATTAGACGTTTGACATTTTTATGAATAAGTAGCATATAAATTAAGTGACAAAATTAAATCTGAAACAAATATTAAATAACACAACTTATTAAATTACCTTTCATGTATTTTTTATTTTTATCCATTAACCAAAGTACTGGCCGCCTAATAACACCTGTATTATAACTAGTTGGTAACTAAAAAGAAAACAGCCACCACCACATTTCTATGCCACAGATAATACCAAACAAACTAATGAACCATCCAATTAAAGGTAACTAACGAAACAGGCATGGCATCACGTAATATCACAGTATATACGTGTATTGCGAACAATGAATTGCCCGTCTTAAGGATTAAAGTGTTTCCTCTGCCACGTTGACTGATTTCTGATAGATAGACCTATAGGCAAATCACATAACTTTGCCACAACTAAGATACAATGATGATGGTAATGAATGATGATGATGTTACAGTATAAACCTATCACCAGCATAGCCAATCATAGCCAAAATTCGCAGACGAGCGGTGACTGTACTGTGCCCATAACTTGTTGAAACAACAACCTACCTCTTCCTGTTCCCCACAGGAGTCAATTCATGTTAAAATTGATTATACTATCACACCTTTATCAGACTGATAAAGGTGTGATGATATACTAGCCCGCGGTTGACCACTAATGTGGAGAAGGGCTCAAATCAATATACATAGTACTCTAACATAAGGCCCCACTACTGACAAAATAATGGACGGAGTCTTTTGAAGTAACAGGCCTGAGACGACACATGGACCTGGTCACCAGACCATTGTACATCCATATATATATATATATGTATATATGATGTATGCGTGTTTGAGTGAACCAACTTGTTGATTGTTCAAGCACAATAACAACACAAGATCTTAGATGAGACCTTCTTTGTAAACTTTCTATATAAACATTCATATACATCACCGAATGCAATTACACAGCAGCTCTTCGCGCACCATACAAGTGTGTCAGTTAGCGTACAGGGGTGTCACGAGCGCATTGCTGACCCATAAGAATGAAACCTTAATATGCCCTTCTTGAAAAACCCTATACTGTAGTCTCTAGAATATTAGACTGCGTTTGAACAGACACTATGCCATTTAGGAACAAAATCATGTTTCTGTTCAAAACTGTTCAAAAAGTTCAAAGCTTTAACACCTGTCTTATGTTAGCCATTTGAACACAGATTCTTTAATCTAAGATCCAGTAAAATAGGACGTGTCTAATACAATGCCCAACTATATTTTTTGTGCACCAATACGATAACCGCTTCTTGAACTATTTATAAGTAGAGAAGTAAGTTTCTGTCCGATTGCAATTATTGCCACAAATATATCTACATAATTAAAATTTTCTTTTAGCAAACTACTGCTAATACCCACAACTTTTACAACAGTTATATATTTAAAGTTGTATGCCAATGACATTTTTTTTTTCAATAACAATCCTTTATGATATGTATGTATCTCATATACATACATATGTAAAAAATGTAATAAAGAGGAATGTTGATTCAAATAAAAAATTAAAGGAAAGTATATCCTTTTGTATTATTGGTTGGATTGATTATTGAAATATAAAAACAATTGAATTACGATACTACTGGACAGAAACGTATTCCTTGACTATTTATAATCTATGTAAACTATTTTTATACAGGAACTAGGCAATGGAGTCATGTACTATCCCTCGTACGTTTACAAAAACATAGATAATAGATACATACGCTTATTGCTCCAATGACCATGATAACTTCTAATATATAAAAAATAAACAACACAGTACAGTCACCACCCACCAACGGAACATTATACCATCTCTCTCACTCACGTTTTCTTAAATATCCTGCCTCTCGCTCGTCCAATAGTGCCCACTATCCGGTTGTATGCAAGGCGACCCTTCGATGCGTACACCTCTCTAGTAGGATATTCTAATATGTTAAATTCGTAACGAATAATTTTCTCATATTAAATAGATATGTTTATTAATATATATAAATATATTAATATATATTACTACGACTATACTATTTTTAGTATATTGATCGTCATTATACTTGGAGTTTCTATAATATAATTTTCTTTAGCCTAAACTCTAAAGATCATCGAAATTTAAAGACTGCCTTCGAATCAACCGTTTATATCACCATGCCAGACTTGTTGAAAGACAAACAACACAAATACTACTTAATTCACTTTCACAACTCTAACTAAATCATTTGCGGCACAAGTTTAGATTCCGGTAACAATAAATTATGACAGATGAGAAAATTAATCGTTAGAGAAAATTCTAGTAATTTGCCGCATTTAAATAAGAACATAAAATCTGGTATAAAAGCAGAGGCGAGGTTATGCAACAAAAGTAGAAAAGAGATATACCTACTATTTTGGGAAATACCATATCAACGTATTTGGCCAATACATCATAGAACGTTCTTACAGACAAATGTATTTTGAGGAACTTTTATTTGTAAACTATTGATTGTTATAGACTCAAGACTGGCTGATATGAAAGATAGCTGTTTTAGATTTCGAACTATGACTATCTGTCGACAATTAAAATAATAGAGATTTCAGCACTCGACAAGATGTCAAGCAGTAGGTATATCTCTACTTATATACATCATACAGCTAAAGCAATTAACATTCACAAGTAATTAATAAACGATAATAGAAATATCTTCTCTTAAATTATTTATTTGATTTTAATACTTTATATACAGTAAATACATTTAAAATAACAGGATACAACGATATTAAAAAATAATTGTGTGTATTACCATACAATCTGTATTATTTAATATAACTATTACTCCACGCAACTTTTCACGCGCGGTTGTCTACATAAAATAATTAAGTTTCTTCCTAAAAAACCAATTTCACAGAGTTACGACGAAATCTGTCAATTAGATGAATTTCAACTCTATCACGAATAACAAAAGTAGATATTTCAATATCCCAGTGATTTTTTTGTCATATTTACAATAGCATAGAGCAAGATGACAGACATGCTATTAAACTTTAGTACATTTACATTGAAGAAATTATTATTTGTCATAGTAAGAGATATTACAAATTCGATGGTTTTTATTCTTGTTTATAACACACTTTTATAAGAATGATCTTTCTTTACCTGTCACTTCTATCCTGCGGCTTGCTGTCTCTCCCTAGGATGATTCGCATGTGAGTGTCCCGATTGAAATGAGTGTCCGTCAGTATCGGCTGATTAGTCAGACTCGGAGGCTGAGATCCTGAAATATCAATTTTCTTGATAAAACGTATACATACTATTTTCAATATCTCCTAATAGTAATAAATCATTCAGTCTCATTGAACAAAAACAGTCGGAAAACAAATATTTTAATAAGACAACTAAATTATTATTGCTTATGTGTTGACATTATTTCTTTAAAGAAGTAATTCCATGACTATGTCTACTTTATCGTGTTCATGTAAAGTAAATAATATCCATTACCATATAGATCTTCTAACTTACCAAAAGCATGTGTGGGCTGCGTAGGGCTGCATATATCGCTGACAGGGCTCCGCGGAGGCGACGCATACAACGGACTCATGTTATCTCTGTCGTACCCGCCGTAATGCCGCTCCTCACGCCGTCTGTCCCGCTCGCACGCGTATCCACGGATATCTGCATCTCGCTCGTTCGCTGCGTAACTCCTACTGATCATATAATAATAACATTGACTTACGTTATGATTGTGCATGGATAAATATATAATATATATAATTATACATATATAAATTATTAATAAGAAAACATTATTTAATAATGATTTAAATATATATGGTCTGTTAAAAACCACTAAAACATAAAGAAAGACATACGCGATACGTTTTATTTCTTTTCAGAAGATGTTTTGCAAATCACATACCTCAATTTAGAGTCCTTTTCTACCACATGGTGTTCCGGTATTGTACTATCTCGTTCTTTATCCCTTCTCCCTCGGCCGCACCGAGCTACTTGTTGCGTGAACGAGAGAGACAGATTTGTGCGACTAGGCTGTAAAAGAGTTTTATGTAAATTAGAATTCACGACAATAACTAATCTGCTTGTATTTTAATAACTACCATATAATTACTTAATGCAATTAAAAAATAAATAATTAAAATATCTGTGATTTGCATAGTCATATAGTTAATTTTATATATTACTAGCTAACCGCCCCGGCTTTGCATGGGTGTACATGTATTGTACATATAATTCTTCGTCTTAAATCACTCTGTCTACTGCTAAAAACAGCATCAAAATCCGTTGCGTACTTTAAAAGATCTAAACGAACTGACAGCATAAGCCTATTCATTTTATACTATGAAAGTTATATAAATTTTAATGCCAATTGAATTAATTGTCCATTCAGTATCCAGAGTTATATTAACTTATTCTTATTATATTATGTCCTAAAAATAAAGAAATACCTTATCATGTGTATTGTGGACGTGATCAGTGTTATGTTCGTGGTGGTCGTGCGAACGGCCCGAGCCCGCAGTCAAGTTTGAAGATGACTTGGTCGAGTTAGAACTGTGCACGCTGCGACGCTTGTACTCTGGAGAACCTATACGAAGGATATATAATAATATATATAGAGTTTTATTGCACGGTGTAACATTGACGTTTATACTCTTCAATAGTCTCTTCAATAGTAATTTACTTAATACAGGTTGCTAATCATTCCGCTGGCGGTAGCGGTAGACTACTATTAATAGTCGTGTAACTGACCAGCGCTGGGCGGGCGCGCGGGCTGCTGCAGGTCGAGGGCGGGCGCGGGGGCGGAGGGCGGCGCGGGGGCGGAGGGCGCCGCCCAGCGCTCCAGCAGGCGGCAGATGCTGGCGTGCCCCGCTCGCCAAGCCACCTTCGCCGGCGTCCGCCCTGTGCACACCACACAAGATTACAACGTGCAATAGTCTATCCGTGACCTATCTATGATTATAAATACTTTAACAATATAATATTTTTCATATAGATGCTCTAATATACATATTTCATATATGTTATCACTTACCACAATGATCTGCTTGTAACGGATCGGCACCGTGTTGCAGTAACCATAGCACGCATTCCTCGTGACCTTCTTGGGCTGCTATACCTGTAAGGTAATCATTATGTTACAGTTCTGTTTTAGTAAACAATTCAAACACTACACCTTTAATTTAGTCATGTTGGTAGAAAATAAAATCTAGGCGGGGGAGGTACGCCGTGCTGCAGCAGAGTTCGCGGCGGAGTGCGGAGTGCGGAGTACCGACCTAGTGGAGTTGCGCCCTGCGTGCACACGGCGGCGGGGGAGGCGCCGTGCTGCAGTAAAGCTCGCAGGGCGGAGGCCCGCCCGCGCCAGGCTGCAGCATGCAGTGCTGTTCGTGCGCAGCGATCGCGTCCGTCCACTACAGCGCCACCTATCATAACAGAAATGCAAGTGAGTAAAGTAACATCAAGTAAAATAGTTACCCTGTTACATAGTCCTAAAGGGAGTGTTGAATATCGTTAAAATAAAAAAGCTCTGGATCTGAATATCAGAACAGAATGAAAACTAAACATATTTGGATATGGTGAAAGTATTGTAAAAGATAATTTAAATAATAGCATAACTCACCAACTTTTATTAGTAAATTCACCATTTCTGTGTGCCCTTGCCACGCCGACACGTGTAATGGAGTTCGACCCTAAAAAACAAAAATACAAAAATTTACATAAAAATAACATTATTGCTCAGAAACTAACATGGACTTCGCATTTCAAATTAAATATTACGTACTTAAACGTTAAAAAACATTTCCGTTAATATTTCTTGAGCCGTATAATATTGAATTATGAGATCCCGCAGAAAGCTTGAAGATCTTTATCTACTAAAGATCTTCAAGCTTTCTGCGGGATCTAAACCTAGTTTCAACCTAGCACAGACTCTCACAAGAAACAACTATTGTACCTACTTGAAAGTTTAAACATACCGTATATTATGAGGTTCCTTGTGACTAGTAAATAAATATTACTATTATTATTTTTGTAATATATGTATGTAGACAACACAGACCAAACACCTGGGGAAAAGTTTCGACTACGCACAATTAGTTGTGTTACAATTGAAGACTGCAGCGTGCGAGCTGATAGCGCGTTATGGCGAGCCGGTCGTCTAGCGCGAACACGTAGAGCGCGCTGCGTACCTCAGTGTCGGTGGTGTTGACGTCTGCGAGCGCGTAGAGCGCGCTGCGTACCTCAGTGTCGGTGGTGTTGACGTCTGCGAGCGCGTAGAGCGCGCTGCGTACCTCAGTGTCGGTGGTGTTGACGTCTGCGAGCGCGTAGAGCGCGCTGCGTACCTCAGTGTCGGTGGTGTTGACGTCTGCGAGCGCGTAGAGCGCGCTGCGTACCTCAGTGTCGGTGGTGTTGACGTCTGCGAGCGCGTAGAGCGCGCTGCGTACCTCAGTGTCGGTGGTGTTGACGTCTGCGAGCACGTAGAGCGCGCTGCGTACCTCAGTGTCGGTGGTGTTGACGTCTGCGAGCGCGTAGAGCGCGCTGCGTACCTCAGTGTCGGTGGTGTTGACGTCTGCGAGCGCGTAGAGCGCGCTGCGTACCTCAGTGTCGGTGGTGTTGACGTCTGCGAGCGCGTAGAGCGCGCTGCGTACCTCAGTGTCGGTGGTGTTGACGTCTGCGAGCGCGTAGAGCGCGCTGCGTACCTCAGTGTCGGTGGTGTTGACGTCTGCGAGCGCGTAGAGCGCGCTGCGTACCTCAGTGTCGGTGGTGTTGACGTCTGCGAGCACGTAGAGCGCGCTGCGTACCTCAGTGTCGGTGGTGTTGACGTCTGCGAGCGCGTAGAGCGCGCTGCGTACCTCAGTGTCGGTGGTGTTGACGTCTGCGAGCGCGTAGAGCGCGCTGCGTACCTCAGTGTCGGTGGTGTTGACGTCTGCGAGCACGTAGAGCGCGCTGCGTACCTCAGTGTCGGTGGTGTTGACGTCTGCGAGCGCGTAGAGCGCGCTGCGTACCTCAGTGTCGGTGGTGTTGACGTCTGCGAGCGCGTAGAGCGCGCTGCGTACCTCAGTGTCGGTGGTGTTGACGTCTGCGAGCGCGTAGAGCGCGCTGCGTACCTCAGTGTCGGTGGTGTTGACGTCTGCGAGCACGTAGAGCGCGCTGCGTACCTCAGTGTCGGTGGTGTTGACGTCTGCGAGCACGTAGAGCGCGCTGCGTACCTCAGTGTCGGTGGTGTTGACGTCTGCGAGCACGTAGAGCGCGCTGCGTACCTCAGTGTCGGTGGTGTTGACGTCTGCGAGCGCGTAGAGCGCGCTGCGTACCTCAGTGTCGGTGGTGTTGACGTCTGCGAGTGCGTAGAGCGCGCTGCGTACCTCAGTGTCGGTGGTGTTGACGTCTGCGAGCGCGTAGAGCGCGCTGCGTACCTCAGTGTCGGTGGTGTTGACGTCTGCGAGCGCGTAGAGCGCGCTGCGTACCTCAGTGTCGGTGGTGTTGACGTCTGCGAGCGCGTAGAGCGCGCTGCGTACCTCAGTGTCGGTGGTGTTGACGTCTGCGAGCGCGTAGAGCGCGCTGCGTACCTCAGTGTCGGTGGTGTTGACGTCTGCGAGCGCGTAGAGCGCGCTGCGTACCTCAGTGTCGGTGGTGTTGACGTCTGCGAGCGCGTAGAGCGCGCTGCGTACCTCAGTGTCGGTGGTGTTGACGTCTGCGCCGCAGTCCGCGAGCAGGTAGCGCGCCATGGCGAGCCGGTTGTCGAGCGCGAGCACGTACAGCGCGCTGCGGCGGTCGGCATCCAGCGCATCCACGCTGGCACCGCGTGACACGAGTGCACGCACCGTCGCAAAGTGACCTTCCAGCGCCGCCAGCCTGTACACAAAATATACCTCACTTCGTATACACGTAACTTACCTTACTTATTTACTGTACTGTTTCTGTTCAGTACTGCTACAAACTGTACTGAACAGAACACCAAAATGTGTAGTTATACATTACAATATATTTATCCAATGGCAATTCATGTTGATTTATTGATAATCTGATAAATATTTAATGATAATTTCATTACTAGTACATAACATGTCAATGCTATAATAGGGTTCAAGATTATTATTACTACAATACCTGAGAGCAGTCTTTCCATCATGAGCATGTTGATCAACTGGTGCACCCCACTCGTCCACTAGTAACTCCACGAGTCTGGTGTGACCCTCCTGCGCGGCCAGCATTAGGGCTCCTTTGCCGTCATTATCTGCTTCGTCCACTTTTGCGCCTGCTTCAAGTAAAGCTTCACATACTTCGATATGACCTGTAGGTATTGTGTATGTTTTATACATCTATTTTTATAATTAGAAATTAAAGCAAGTATACAAAAACTTTTTTGTTAAAAATATTCGTAACATGTTAATCGGAAATAAACAAAATTTGATGGGAAACAGTCAAAAGTTATTAATTTCCATAAAAATTAGAAAAACAAGTCTATTTTTCTTTAATTAATTCATTAGATTTTTTAAATTAATTCATAAGTCATTAGATTCGTAATTTTAATTACCACTATTCCGAAATATGTTGCCCAAGAATATCACATACCTTCAAAAGCGGCGTAGTGCAGCGGTGTCCATCCTGAATTGTCCCTGTGGTGTTCATCGAGACCACGGTCCAGTAACTGCCGCACCACCTCTACGTTACCTACACATCAAAATAAATAGTTGTAGACTTCAACGAGCAAGTTACTATGCACGGAATAAAAACAGCAGCAGGCGCAGTGTGTGTGCATAGCCCGCCGCCGCCAAAACACAACAGCAGCTCGTACGTCCTACCCAAACGGGTGGTGGCCGTGTACTGACAGTGTGCAGCAGCGGTGCTGATCCCGGTGCGCCTGTGTGTTAATGGAGTCGACGGAGGCGTCCCAGAACAGCAGCAGTCGCAGTGAGCGCGCCTGGCCTGTCGCTACTAGCGCACACGTCTGCCCCGGGCGGTGACTGACCGCATACTGACCTTGTGCAGCAGCAGTACTGAGTACGGTGCGGCCTTCTGCGTCCATGGAGTCGACGCATGCGCCCCAGAACAGCAGCAGGCGGAGTGTACGAGCATGTCCCGCTGCGGCCGCCGCCCACAGTGCCGTCCGCCCGGCGCCGTCAGCCGCCTCGGCATCGGCTTCTGCCTCTAGCAGCAGCTCACACGTCTCGCTGTCGACCAGCACATGCACGTTTCAAACGTTATAATATAAATTTAATATTATAAATTCATCAGTATTTATCCTTTCATGAACTAAACACGTGAACAGAACTCAATGTAATTTAAATTACTATAGACCTACAAATGTTATCTCTTGTGTCAAAACAGCAACCGTAGTCAAGTATACCAAATTGTAGTTGTGCATATGTAAACAAGAGTAACTGACGTGTGTCCCTCGAAGGCGGCGACGAGTAGGGGTGTGGCGTTGTCTCTGTCTGCCTTGGATACGTCTGCACCACGCTCGAGTAGTAACGCAGCGCAAGCAGCGCCCGTAGCGCACAGCGACGCTACCGACAGCGCCGTGCGACCTGCACATACACACATTACATACACATCACTGAATATATTTTCGTAAAACATACTAAATGTTCGCACTGGAATAGGTGTCATTATTGCTAAAGTAGGAAACAGTAATAAATACAAAGACACAAAATTGTATGTCATTATTAAAAAAGTGGTCTTGAAGAAACAATATTTATCACAAGACATTGCATATAAAATAGTAGGTATCAATAATTTTTTACAAAACACATACATTGTTGTGCAATTCGAAAAACAGATCAAAAGGCCATATATTTTTAAAAACTGTCATAGCACAATTCATGTAATAAAACATTATTGTATTCTAATTCAAGCTGCAAATATTAATAATTTATCAAATGACATAAAAATATATTTATTTGTAGATCTGTTCAGGCTCTTATAATATGTCAAATCTACCGTCAGTTCTGAGTATTTTGAAGCTATCAAGAACAAACAAAAAACTCAGCAATTCTTTTTCTAATGATAATTCAATAACGATTTGATTTAGAACATTGACAGATAATGCTAAAATTAATGACCTCATTCAACTAAAGCAGTAAAACTAATTAACTTACCATCTTCATCAGCGTGATCGATCTCAGCACCTGCGTCTAAAAGAGCACGGACTATATCTGCGTGGCCCATGTACGCAGCTGCTATGAGTGGCGTTCGTCCCTCCGCATCCGCTTTGTCCGGATTCGCGCCGGCCGCCAATAACCGAGACACCACTGCCTCGTGGCCCGACCATGCTGCCGCTCTATTAAAAATATATGTATAAATAAAAGTGAAAATAAAACATTACCTATGTACATATACAAAAAAAACGTAAGTCTCTTTTATAAATACAAAATAGGCTCCACCGCAGATGAGCGGATAATATGACTTTTATAACTTCATGTATTACAATTGTAAATTTTATGGATGTCACTCACCTTAGAGCTGTCCTGTTATCAGCGTCTACGCAATCCACGTCACACCCGTATTCTAATAGCACTTCAACGACCTGCAGAGAACAGATAACATATTAAAAAAAAAATCTTCGTCGATTTCTACATATTCCTCATATTAAAATATATTATGTTTTTGCCCCGTATTCATATAAATTAGGCGCTAAAGCACGCACAATTAATTGATTTAAAAACGCGGGAATGGCCGAGTTAATAGCGCGCGTAAAGTACGCATGATCAAAGAACGCGGGAATGCGCGAGCTAACGGCGCGCACGGTCTTTCTTCGCGCGTAAAGTACGCATGATCAAAGAACGCGGGAATGCGCGAGCTAACGGCGCGTGCCTGCGTGAACGTGAAATAGCGGAGGCGTAAGGGCAGGCAGTGGTGGCGTACCTCTGTGTGTCCGGCCCAGGCGGCGGCCCGGAGCGGGCTCCAGCCGTCGGCGTCGGGCGCGCCCGCGGCGGCGCCGGCCCGCAGCAGCGCGGCGGCGGCGGCGGCCCGGCCCGCGCGCGCCGCCGCGTGCAGCGCCGAGCTGCCCGCGCCGTCCACGGCGCTCGCCAGCTGCGGCGCCCGCTACCACACATCCCCACACGCTGTTTAGCCACCTCTTCGCTTCCGATGGTCACATTTTTTTATATCTATCTCAATTATCTCATGTCGCAAACGATACAACCGAGAGACCGTTTTAAGGGTCTCGCTAGTCGACCGGTTTAACCACCGTTTTACTTCCGATGGTCATATTTTTGTCTACTTTATTGCACTTGTAACTTTAAATATTTGATATTTAATGTTACGAGTGCAAAGTATATATTATTAAGATCGCCGGTTCGATTGCTCGCCCGCATACATTTGTATTCATGAGTGTAAATGTTTTTGTCGCTCTGCGTGTCTTCTGTGTGTATTATGAATATATTTACAAAAACGCTACTAGTATCAATGTATTTATATCAGTTGTTTAGTACCCAAAACGCAAGCTCTGCTTAACATGGAACTGCCGTTTAGACTTGTCTTGATGCTCATTATATTGTCCTTCATTGGTACCTCGCCTACTTACACTGTTAGCGCAGAGAAATGGGTTATTCCTTTATATTAAATTAAAAAAACATGCTCGCATTCATGTAACTATATATATTAGTACATGACATAACTTTTGCTTCATATAATGCAATTATATCATAGTGTTATACATATATAGTCATATGACGCCAACATTACTATATAATGTGTACCTTTAATAGCGCAATAAGAGTATCTTCATCCCCTTTAGCAGCGAGTTCGTGTACTAAGTTTGGATCCAGTAACTCTGGTTCTACTTGTTCATCTTCGTTAATCTCCTGGCTCTCCTCAGTTTCCGGTTGGTCTGTATTTAGCTGGAGGAAATGGGATCGTTATTAAACAACTTGTTACGTATTCTATTTTCTTTGAAAATTATGTAGTCAACACAAAATGCAATGAAATATATAATCAAATCCAAAGCTAGGCTGATAAATATGAAAACATGTAAACGACAGTAATGCTGATGTAATGTAATTATAATTATTTAAGACGTAACTCAAAATACACGAATATAAAATAAAATGAAAAATTAAAGAACTCAATAACCGAAAACAACATAATCATATATTTCATTAATCATAACTTCAAAGGAATAATAAATAATTGAACGCAGACTAATGAGACGTAGCGATAAACTTCTAATCGTTACAAATAACTCATCTCCATATTCTACTGACATCAACAGTCTAATGGTTAAAAAAATGTGAGTTGTGATATTGAAGATGCGGTCACTATTTACATACCAGCGCACGTATCTCGTCGGCATCACTCTCTGCGACCACTGAATCTGCTCTACTTAGCTCCAACAGAGTTCTGAATACCCGCCGGTCACGTGGCCAGTGCGCTCCACCCGATCCAGATACGAGTTCAGGCATTATCGTCTCTAAAGTCGACTGGTCGCCTGTAACTGAAGATTATTACAAATGATAGCAAACTCGGTTTCATCCATATAATATGTTACAAACTATACCCGCGAATTCACCCGCAAGAAATTTATATCCTATGTGTTATTCTGATGTATAAAGCTACATTACTGTAAAGTTTCATCAAAATCCATTCAGTAGTTTTTTTTTGCATGAAGAAGTAACAAACATCCATCCATACTCACAAACTTTCGCATTTATATAGAAAAGTGCAAAATGCCTGTATTTATTTTATTAATATTGTGCATAAAAATACATTAAATCAATAAAAAAAACATTACACACACTACCATATATTTGACACACATGCATCAATTAAATAAGTTCATTAACCTAAATGACTATTACATAAATAATTGATGCCTAACATTCAAAAGTCATAACATTCTTAGGAAAAAAATTGAATCATTATATTCGTAGTTTAAGACGTCATTACATTGTAAAACCTAAATGGACAGTCCCAGTATTCATTCACAACGATTTTAGCGTCAATAATGTTTCCTTTATGTCTATTGAAGTATTGTTACCGTCACCTACAGATATGAATGTGGTATTGTTACTTAAGCGTGCATAACATACTGATATATACATATATGAGTATTTTTATACATTATTATCAGCATTTGTATTCACGAATATGATTGTTTGTATTGGTCTGGGTGTTTTCTGTATACATTTTATATGTATTTATTTAGTAAAACTATTTAAGTATCACTATTAATTGCTTAGTAGCCATATAGTACAAGCTCTGCAAATAATAAAAAAAAACAAATATATCTATTCAAATTTCATTCATTATCAAATATGTAAAATCCAATTTTAGTTCATTACTTACTTTAAAGACTTACTAAATTTATAAAACAGCTACTGTTTATAAAAAAATATATTTGGTTTTGTTGATTAATATACTTGAGAGTTTTCAATGTGTAATCTAGACTATTTTCTATATATTTTCACAGTTTTATTATTATATTATATTACATTTATGTTTCACTATAATTTGTAACTAATTAAAACTAAATGTTAAATTTTATTTTTCACATATATATCACATTTTTTTATTAATAAACAGGACACGTTACAACACCGATCGACAAATGCTCAGCAACTACTAAATAAAGTGATTGTCCTGCTAAGTTTCCTACTACTTACACATTAATTAAACATCAAATATAAGCCATGTCATTAAGCAATTAGAGTACACTATTTAATAACTCAAAATACAGGATGAGATAAAGAAATTATTTGTAATTGTATTCATTGAAAATAATGAGAAATATTAGGTCAGTTACAAGAAGATAAGCTGATTAGTTCATTGAAAAATATTAGATAAAAACCACATGAGTTATCTGACTTGATGTCCGTACAGAGTACTATTGAAGACTAGACATAGAATTGCCATTAGGGGCGATCTACTAATTATGCAACTCCAATTTCTGTAATAAGTAATACGTAGCGAAATAGATATAAACGCGTATTATAACTAATGTTAATTGTGTGATAGCTCTTTATAAAATAAAAATTAATCCTTAAAATATGGGATGAATTAAAGATATGAATTCAAAAGCGTCATAAGGAAGAGAGAATTAATACATAAATAATAGACGTAGGGACGATAGACCTAAGGTAAAAATTCTCCATCTCCATCTAGCGCGGCATCTTAAAAAAATGTGGTAGTGTTCAATAACTGGCTGTCTGTTCTCTATCTATATTATAACACTAACTCATGTTAATATAGAAGTAGATTGCGATATGTTACATCCGTAGATTCCGGATATCTAAAGGATGTTTAGTTTCTATACCTACTTTAATGTTAATTTATAGACAATGTGTCCTGCTAATCTGCATCGATTTATGCCTATTAGAGGGAAGTATGACATAATATATGTGTTAGATATAGTATATGTACATATATGCTTAGTTTTACTTTATCGTTGTTGTTTGTTTGTTTTATAACATAAAACATATTATAAATACTGTGGATGTATAAATATTACTTCCATAACCACAATAGACTATAAACAAATAAATAATAAATAAGGATAAAATTAAATGCTTCTATAATTCCATATAAATACATCGCTACCTATAATTATTTGCAGTGTAAAATTTCCACTAAGGAAATCCGCAAACACTTTACTTAAATACGCTCAAGGGAAGACCCTTGTAGCCATTACAAAAATCTAATAAATGGACATGAGTATACAATCCTAATCCCCAGTTTACGGCGGTTGTCTAGCGGTTCTATATCAGTTATCTAGTACCCATAACACAAGATCTTCTTAGCTTGGTACTAGATGGCGTTGTGTTTTGGGATACTAGATTATTATAGTTTACAGATTCTGATAACAATCTGTTAATATTCGGACTATCCTATGCAAAACGATAATAGCCTTCTATATATGAACAGAACCATGGTCATGAAGTCAGCATATGTCGCGCATAGTGTTTATTGAGAATTTAGTCTATGCCTACCCTGTAATTAAAATATGATCACTGGAAATAATATTACGAATTTTCGTGGGACTACGTGAAAGCAGCTTCAATCAGATAGTCTGAGAGAAAGGGGATTGTTAATAATAAATGTGTAATGTGTAATATTGGTAACCCCATTGGTAATAATGTACCATGTCAGGTTGACCTCTGCGTGTTCTCCCTGGGAACCATCCTGATAAATTCATGGTGTATTTACCACGATGGGCTAACTAGCCTGACCTCAAGTGCATCTTATCATCCTCCACAGTGCCCCGTTAGGGTAAACCGTTAGCTCAGGCGGGTGCAACATTCCATTAATATCCATAAGAAAAATCAGATAGCCATGTTTAAATATGTTACACGCAAGTACAATATTTCAATGTGTATTTTATGAATCAGCATGGTTTGTGGACTGTGGCCTATTTCTCATTGACGTAAATGCAGTCAGACAGTCTGTGAAACATTACATTCTTATCATTGTACTTTTATTATTGTATCCTTATGTACTAATTCCTGTACTATAATAAAACCAATCCATTGCCTTTATTTTAAATACATATATTAGTCAAACAACAGCTCCATAAACATAATTGTTAGGTGTATATACGGCCTCCTCACTGATTACGATTTTATATATAGTATATAGTAGTTGTTGTCAAATATAGATTGACATTATTGTAAAGGAAAACTATAAAAAAAGATAATAGAATTATTCTGCAAACGTACATTATTTATTATTTAACACATCTCAACAAAAAAGAACCCCACCACAAAATCTGGCGACCGTGACTTAGAAGAAAAATGTTGAGATTAAAAAAATCAAGAACTAATTTACGCCGACTATTCACAAAGACTGGGAACCAGTTATCAGAATTATTAAAGGAACCCATACGAAATACTGCGGAAATAAAGGCGTGTCATTCACTATTTAAAGGTAAAGCAGACGAAGTATTTAAAGTAGACAAAGATATTTACAATGAATGGGTGAATGACGACGAAACAAATGAAGATGAATTTTACGCAGATTGGGAAACGGCCGATGAATTTTTGATTAAATGGATTACCCTAGATAATATGTATCAAGAACTTATAGAACAGCAGAATAAACGTCAACCTGCCTCTCAGTTACCAGTCATATCATCTGAGAGACAGGATATAAGTGCAAGAACACCAGATGAAAATATGAGCGTAAATGGAGAATCGATGAACAATGTAACGAAGAGACGATTCACAAAGATTGAGCTAAAAAGGTTTGATTCTAATGTGAGGGAATCCGCTCTCTCTGAGGAGATTTTACGTGCAAGAGAGAGACGTAACCAACTTGAAGAACTACTTCAATTTTTAAACGAGAAGTTGACAGTGAAGAAAAAATCGAGTTGGACAAGTCTAGTTTTAAAAGTTATATAAAAGAAGTCGGTGAGCCGACAATATCATATATTTCATCGGGTATGAGTAAAAAATATGAGGGAGATAAAAAGATACGAAAAGACATAAGAAAAAATTCTTTGAGGTATGAAAAGACTAGTTACGACTATAAACAAAAGAAGGAAGAACAAAAACTAGATACAATTTTGACGTACTATGATTATGAAGAAGTGGAAAATAAATTAGTAATGATTATACAAAGAAAATATTTTCAAGGGAATGACGAGTTTAAGAAATTGAAAAACGAGACTATTTTTACAGATGAAAAGGGTATGATAAGAATGAAAACTAAACTAATTCTGAGCCAAGAAGAAAATAGATATATTAGATGTTTAATAATATTGCCGTGGAGCAGTGTAATTCTATTTCGTCTAGTTCAAGACAAGCATATCAGCTGGAAATTTAAGCCACCGGACCCTACTTGGTGGAGGGGAGGTTGGGTGGAAAGTTGGTACGCTTGGTGGGAAAGATGGTACCCCTGGTGGGACGGGATAGAGAGAGTAGGCAAAATTAAGATAAAGTCTAATGTATTCAAAGCTCATTTACTGTTGGCTACCTGAATAGCACTTCATGTCTGCGGGAGGATGTTAGGTGTATATACGGCCTCTTCACCGATTACGATTTTATAATAGTAGTTGTTGTCAAATATAGATTGACATTATTGTAAAAGAAAACTATAAAAAAAGATAATAGAATTATTCTGCAAACGTATATATTATTTATTATTTAACACATCTCAACAAAAAAGAACCCCACCACAACAATAATAAATATCAATGATATTGCAAAGGATTCTCGGGTGATGTAAAATAATATTTTTGGTAATTGAAATGTTAAGAATATGTCTGTTTCAAAAACTTTTTGGAATGGAATGCTTCCAAACTACTGGTATTTATTTTTTTATCGAAAAAATTTCAGATTGTTGATTGACTAGCCTTATGACAATAAAAAAGCTAAATGCGCTAACTATCAACTTAACCGAAACATCCCAAGCCACGTATTACTTCACAACAAGTTTCTTCGCGAAAAATATGTTTTCTTACTCATAACCTATAAATCTATATGAAGATTTACTTATTACTTTTTAAATAACATTTTCTTTAAAAATACTTAACAATATACTAAAAATAAAATACCTGAAGGTGATTCTTTGCCTTCAGATTCGGCATCCGCTTCTCTCTCTTCGGATTTACTATCTTCTTTCTGTAACAAAAAATATAATATCAACAAAAAACTCACAACAGTAATCTCCACACTCCACCTAGCTCACTGCTTTCTGAATATATTCATTTCATTCATATAACAAAGCTTTCGGCAACCGTGTAATAAAGTAGAAAATTTAAAATAATTTAAAGTATTTTCTGTAAAACAGTACTAGCTGTATTAATACACCAATATCGACCTTACTATTCTATAATATTAGAACTTAAATTACACACAATGAAATCTTGACATTTTCATACCTGTGCGTCAAATGCTTCAAACTGTTTGATAGTGTCGCTCTCTCTCTTGAGTGCGGCTTCAACGTCACAACCGGAATCCAAAACCCACAACAGGAAAAGCGTGTGCAGATCTACCGTTTCATCTGATTGTTCGCTATATGAAGACACAAATAGGTTATTAGCAGTCTACTTCATGATCCCCGCCGATCGATCCCCCGTTCAATTCAAACGGGGATCGAAATTACGACGGCCTGAGCCGAGGTTCGAACCCCTAGTGAAAACCTTAGACTGAAATCATATCTGTCAGGGGGAAGTTAGCCTTCAGCCGCTCCATAAGTCCTTCCGCAGGTTTGGAGTACCAATTGCACTTGCCCTCGTCGTGAAACTGTAAAGGCTAGCTTTGTCTAATGCTGTTAGCATTAGAGTATTCCGACAAAAAAACTACTTATGATTCCAACTCTATTTCTATTATCATTTCACTTCGAACTTACCTGTTTTTGCTCTTCTTCTGAGTCATCAAATGCTGCTCAAGGTTTGTCATGTGAAATATGTAATTGTGTATTTCAAGCGCGGTCAATCTAAAAAAACAGATATTGCAATTTACAGAAAAAAAAAACAGTAAATTACATAAACTAATATCTACCAGTAATATTTATCATAAATATTAGTACTGACAAAAAAAAATCCAACGACATTAAGTCCTTAAATTAATGGATTGAAATTGTCTCAATTAACCAAAACATTGATATTTGGTGGCAATTATATTGGTTGAAATAAAATCTAAATGTGATAGTAGTAGAGAACAAATGTAATCCAAAATTAATGTGAACACTTTGAAGTATGATAATGAAAAATTAAATTAACTTACCTCTTAGCATCCAGCGTGTAGTACATAGCCAGTGCGGCATGACCGTCCGCGGGGCAGCACAGGTATCTGCGTGTGCAATGCTTCACATCTACCAGCCACTTGGCGAAGGAATGGTGGAAGATCGACAAGTATCCCGTACTCCTCTCCATGACCAGGATCCTAAAGAGTACATTTATTTAATAATCTTTGGGGTAAAGGTTTAGTTGTACGACGACCTCGCTTTACTTTAGGGTAGTCGCGGATTCGACTTCTCGCACTCGGTATAAACATTTGTATTCATGAGTATGATTATTTGTATCTTACAAAAGTATATATGTATTTATAACAGTTATGTAGTACCTACCCGATTTATTAGCTTTGGACTAGATGGCGATGTGTGAATTGTCCTAAGATATTACTATTTGTATATTTCCCGAGCCTAAAGCTTTTTCTGTTTTATATTACCACATATTCGTCTGGAAGGGTTGACATAGCCCGTTCTAAACTCAATAATAATGAAACGACGAAACCTTTCAATAAATACGGACTTTTGATATAATAATTATCACGGCTTCATTAAAAATGCTACCTTATTTATTTGGAAATAAGATTAATAATAACTATAGAATAATATTACCGTCTAAGCAGATGTAACCGCCTATTGAAATCTTCTCTTGTGACGCTGTATTCCTTAGTTAGTAAACACTTATATAGCATCTCCTCAGTGACACCGCAACGGGCTGCCAATAGCACATCCAGTAATAGGCGGACCTGCAATAAAGTTACTGTTTAAACATGTTGTCATGATCTTTGCGGTTACAATATATAGGAACTTGATACAAATTTGTCTGTCTTACAGAAACAAACTGATTTACAAAGAGCAACACTTCATTTTCTTGTCAGTGATTCTCCACGGAACTTACTATTTTTTTTAACGAGTGAAAGTGAATATAAATGTCAAAAATGAACAACATAACAATTAATATTATTAACTGTAAATAATGCGGACAAATGGGGCCTTTTGTCCTGATTAATTACAATCTCGCATCTCCTTTCCCATCGTTGGTATTTGACCTGGACATCAGAGATAGTCTTTGTCCAACATGCAATGAATGGTGTTGCTAAAATTAGAAGAGCATCGTCGATTTTTGGTCAAGGATGGGGACTCCGCGAATACAAGAACATTAAATTCCAGACAATATACCTTAGTAAATCGTCTGCCATGGAAGAGTCTCTGCGCGAGCCATAGATACAGCCCATTGAGGGTACCAGGTATCTCGCGGATCTCTCGGAGGGCGATGAATCCGTCCGCTACTCCATCTAAGACCTATCACGAAAACACGCATTTAAGTACTGTGTTAAACAATTGTTACTGTCTATCACGAATACCAACACATAGAACGTTTTGGTTTTAGTACATAATATATTAATTCGTGTGTATAAGAAAATAATTATGTATATCTTTATCTACCGTTCATTAGTTATAAGTTTCAATCTATTATTGATATGTATTTCTTTTATTTGACTAAGTACAAATTGTAAATGCAAATTTCTCTGCTTGCTACTTGGTTGTCTTCTAAAGAACGCTTTTATATATTACACATTAACCCTAAGTAATATACACGAACACTATACAGGTAACAGTACTATACAGGCTAATATGTAATATATAAAGCGTCCTTAGTAGTAAACTTTGTATATTAAAGTGACAAACATAAATAAATACAATATTTTAATTAAACTGCAGCATTATACCTTCTCCAGGTAAAGCAGGCAGCCGTCGCTCTTGATGCGTAGATGGTCGAGTGCGGCCGCGGCAGCAGCCGCCGCTGTAGAGTCGCTCGATACCCGGGCACTGTTATTTTGATAAATAATATGGAATTTAATTTACAATAAACAGTAATTATAATACTTAATATGTAATATACATCAGACTCTATACTACATATACAAAACTTAAAACAAAATAATATAAGAATTAGTTTTGTAAAATATATTTTATATTAAAGAAATTAAAATATTGTACACGAAAGAACAACTGTTTTTTTTTAAGAACCAAATTAAAAGATAAGGAATAAAGATAAGGAAATATAATATAACTGTTTTTATACGATATTTTCTTAATAATTATTTACAATAAATAACAAACATGTATTCATTCGAATGGTATGTACATGTTTATTTGGGCGTCTGAAATGTCTGACAACGAAAATTCATCTGATAATATCCAATGAAAAAAGTTGAAACAATTACCGACAATAGAAATCAAAGCTACTTACTGTAATATCTAATCTGATGTGATTATAAACTTCACATATACAAACGGAATATCCTTTTCAAAAGATATACTATTATGTATCTAGTGGCGATAAAACATGGTTCGAAGGTATATCACTTAAATTTAAAACATAACGAACACAAATATCTTTAAACGCCGTAATGCTACGGGTATATGAGCAATTTTTTCTTGATAGTAGTTTTAAAAACAAATAAAAAAATACGTCTGTGTAGGATATGTACCGTAATCGATGCTCGGCATCGAGTCGCGCAAGGACATATCGCTGCACGTCGGCCGCCACGTGAGCACGCTGCAACTCGTCCAGAGAGATTTTCCGGAACCCTACACACATATATTAAATATTTATAATATCATATCAGCAAGCAGACTATACTTCCATAATCACTTGAAATACCAATAAGGATTCTATATTTTTTGAGGCCCCAGAGTGCACCCTAGCAGCACACCCAAGCGGGAACTGCTAGAACTATACATATAACCAATAACACTCGCTATAGTTTAACTAATTTTATGCATATTTTAGGCATCTACCACTTTTATACGAGCTACATTGTGATACTGTATATTAGTGAAACTCACCTGTGAACATGCCAGTAAAGGTCCTAGAATGCCTCCTAGCAGTACACACCAAAAGTAACCACTGTGGGAACAGATGCTGATGACGAGCTAGTAATGCTGCAACGGTGCTGGCTCCTTCACCTTCTCGGTCCTCTGAAGTTAGACCTACATTTAAAAAAATATATAAGTAAATGCTCGAATTATAAGAAGCTTTTTATCGATCGTTTTTAGATTATAATAGTTGCAATATACTAATTGTAATAAAACATACCATTGGCAGTTCCCTCGTCGATAGCATCCACGAGCAAAAACAAACACTGCTTAGGAGGATCTATTTCTAACAAAGGAAATAGCAACGCCTTCTTAAAGCATTCATCAGGATTCTTATCCAAATTGTGAGGCAGCAACGCCTGCTGAATCTCAGGTTCTGACAGCAACTTGTCATAATATGCATTAGCTATTAAAGTTCTAGGACTTATAGGTAGACTCGGTATAGGCGGAGGAACATCATCGTTTTGCGACCTCTTTTTCTCCAATAACACTTCCAACTCATGTGTTTGGTTATCCAGAAGTGGTGATGAATTGGGCTTAACGATATTCTGGTATTCTGGTAATTCTTCTTCCTTTGTGTCTTCCTTGTCAGTCTTTTTCGGAGAATTTTCCGCGGACCGTAAATCGCTTTTGTTAGGATATCGAAAGTTAGCCACAGGGATCCTGGACTTTGGAGGACTATTCTCAACTTTTGGTCTATCAGTTTCGCTCGCACTATCATTCTTTTGTTCTGTTGACAAACTTTTTTGTAGTACAACCTGCTTTTTCTCGGTCAATGGCTCGGAGCTTTGACGGAGTAGTCTGGAATTTCTTAGCTCTTTAGATTGTCGCTGTGATATATTACGTAGGAATAGATTTTCGTGGTTCTCATAAAGACGTAAATCTGAGTCTTTTTCATCATTCGTGCATGGGTTGGTCGGTTTTACGCTCGCACGGGGTAGAATTTCTGGCACCTACAATTAAAATATTTAATTCATTAATCTGACTAATATTATAAACACGAAAGTTTGTGAGTATGGATGGATGGAAGTTTCTCACTTTTTTCACGCAAAAAACTGAAGGTATTTTGATGAAATTTTACAGTAATGTAGCAGCTTAAACATCAGGAAGACACATACGCTGTAATTTAAAAAGTAAATTGGGCGAAATATAATGATAAATGTCAAGCAAGTGTGATGCAGAGTTGCGAGGGTCGGCTTCCATATGTATTGAAATATCGTTTGAGAGATCTCAAAATATGTGTTGAAACTTTTGAAACAATCTGTCGTACTAGTACGTTCTTTCGCATATATGATCAGTAATAATGGTGGTGTGGTATGGTATGGGGAGTATATATATATATCTGGCGACACTATTATAATTTGTGCTGTAGTACTAACAAAGTGGTGTAATTTGAACAGTATTTAGTGGTGTGGTATGGAGAGTAGTGGTGATTTGGCGTATAGTAGGTACCTCGTCGGCGCGGCTGAGCTGTGCGTCAGCGATGGCGTCCCTGTATGCAGCGCGCTCGTGCAGTCGCTCGATGGTGCGGCGACGACGACCGCTTCCACCGTCCTCCTCGTCTGTACGTTGGTCTTACAATTATAAAACACTCCCATTCGTATTTATAACGCATTTTCATTTACTTGCAGCAGATGAATGCGGTAGTTACACATATGGTATATCAAATAAATATGTTACTTGTATTCATGTTATATTACACAATTAAGTCTTCTATTTAACACATTAACAAAAGTTTATCCATTTATATTTTTCTTGCATTAATTATAGATACTTCTAATTCAATCGATTAACTTACTCTTATATTTTTTTACTATATTTAGAATAAAAACATATTTCGAGTGCTATTTCTTTTTTTCGAGTAGGCTGCAGTGACACACTGCGGCATCAGCTGAGCTCTTTCAGCTTATAACGCAATAATAGTTTCTAAGTCTTTTATATTTACCACCACATGCTATACTGAATAAATGCTGATGATGATTATTATTATAATATAAATACTATGTCCATATAATTTTCCTATTAATTTTTCTCTGTTTATTATGTAGAATTTTACCCTCCATCAGGCAAAGCAATCTCTTAATGATATTCACAATTAAAGGAGAATTGAATAGTTATATTATCATGTTATTCACCTTCACTATCAGCGAGTAGAGGCTTGGAGATCTCCTCCATGTCGTCTCCGAGTCCTCGGAAACGGCTAACCAGGTTCTCTTCTTCAGAATTACGTCTGAAAACACATGTTACAAATTATTTATTTATTTATAAAACTTTAATGTACGTAATACAGAAGTAGAAGAACATGCAACGGATTCAACACCTTTCGGAAATTATCTTGGAGTTTGAGAAAACCTCGAATAAGTATGTTGTATTATAAATAACCTAATCTTTACTATCCTTACCTATAAATAAATAAATCTTGGACAATTAACAAAGCGCCATCTACTACTCCCACGGTAAGCAGAGCTTGTGTTATGGGTCTAGTCATCAAAAGTAAAGCGATGTACTAGACCGCTAGACCACCGAGGCCATCTCTAATCTTTACTCTTCCAGAATAAATCACAAATACTAATTACGATTTATAATGAATGCTTCATACAAGGACATATCGTAATGTACCAAATAACGTATACCTGTTCGTTTGCGAGTCTGATTGTTGTTCAGACTGTCCGTCCTGTTCATTCATAGTTCGTGCTCGTCGTGATGAATGACTCAGTATCTGCATAGCGAGCGAACGCACGAATTCACTCGGTCGTAGACTACTGTCGTTGTGGCCCTATAAAGATTACGATAGTTATAATATATTGAAAACAGATGAAACACAAACAGAAAAAATGATCAATTATGCCGACTATATTACATTATATCCTTGCAATTTATTTCTAATAATAATCTGCAAAATGTTAGCTAATTTTACTATAAATAAACTGTTGATAATAATGTGACCGACATAATATGTATATTCTGTAATGTTTATATTGTTGACTATCCTACCTGTAAGAAATGCCTGGCAAGCAATTTCCTGTTCAGTGCTCTCTGCTGTCTTGCCTGAGGACCCTGCCCTGGCTCGCTCAATTCTTGACATAATGCTGTCTTGCCACTCCCCGCTTCACCTAGAAGTATAAAGAATATTTGTTAGACGGTATCTAAGCTAAGCCAGGATGTATACATATTAACATTGAAATTACATAACAATGCTTAATTATTATTTTTTATATTTTTATGTTATAATAATATATTTATTCCGTAATATAATGCTGATTGTTGATGCTATATGTATGTACTAATATAAAAATAGAATTCTTCTATGTATCTTATATAATTAAGAAAACTTACCTAAAATAAGAGCTCCGCAAGTCTTGCTGACAGGCCTCTGCTCTAAACAATGAGCTATTTTCTGGAAGGCCCATTCACGACAGTAGAATCTTCTCTTATCGGTCGATATTGTCGTCTCGCTCACTCTATGCGCAGAGGATGATTTACGGACAGGGCGACTCGATTCTTTTTCATGTGCCCTCGGTGCAACAGGGCTTAATGGTGTGCCTGAAGGATTAAAAATTGCATTAAATAATTAAGATCCATAAATTTCTAACTGATAAGGACCAAATTTTGTATTGATGGAAGTAAAAGCATACACACAGTCGCTGGTTCCGTGATTTTTATCACGCATATGCAGAGTGGACAGATTTTAATGCTTTTTTTAATTTGTCATAAAAAAGAAAAAAATATGAATTTTAAGGTTAACAGTTGAGAGCATTTCATATTTCATATCTGAATTCATTATTTGCATTCCACAGTGAAATCATACTAAGTATACATATATTTTCGTAGTTACTTTCTACTTTACAGATATTAAAACAAAAATATTTGTTACCATCGAAATCATAATTATCCCTTTCTCTATCTCTATCCCTGTCCTTATCCCTGTCTCTTTCTCTCTCACGGCGATGTTCCCTCGTGCCTTCCCGCTCGGGGAAGCCTCGATGTCGCTCTGTCGGAGTTCGATCGTGGCCACGTGGTGTTACCACGTCGTTTAATGGTAAAGACCTAGAATTGAAAGTAGATTGTTTTTTTAATTTAAATATATATTTAATCATTGACGATAGACTTTCTATGTCTAGATTTCGAATAAGTTACCTAAGATTAACTCTGTGCTCCGCTTGTCGTACAGCCGAGTGTCTATGTTGCTGTTGTCTCATACTGACTTGATTCTGCCTCAAATACGCCTCCACTTTGCTCTCGCTGGCCTCGTTCCTATTCTGGGTTCTCCTCCCCCTGCTCGTCTCGTCTCGCGATCTCTTCGACTCTTTCTTATCTGTTTTCTCTACCTTCTCTATGGGTGTCATCATTTGAAAATTCCCACCATTATTATAATTCAATGGATCGAAATCTGTTCGCGCCAAATTTTGGGCGCGATTTGATGTTGACTTCGAATTCTTCGCGCGATATTGCGATTTTGGTACTATTTGACTATAAATTGGCATTTCGTTCGACATCTTAGACTAGCTTTGGTTAGACAAAAATATATTTTGAGTTTTTAGTTTTGTTTTAGAGGTAGAGTAACCTAACTTGTTTCCTATTTACTTTAACACGAAAATGGCTTTGGTTTCAAGTTAATTGACACTATAACTAGAGGAACCCGGGAAAGATATATGATATATTTTATAATAAAAATAGGCCTTATGTGTACGTAGATGCAGAGATGTATCACAAAATAAATTATCTCGATGAGATTCAGGTCATTTTATGAGTGTGACCTTATTCAGTCAATTCTATTCATAAACGCTTCCTCTTTTTTCTGAAGACGCCATGATGTTACGATGATAGTGTGTTATCTGAAACAAAACATAAAACAAATTAATTTATAATTTACGTAAATATTCTATTCAGGCAGAACGGTTATGTTCAGCATAACCGTTCTGCCTGACAGTGTCTAATTTATTATTTACAAGTCAAAGGAATAGTCATTTTATTAATAACATATTTTAGTGAATATACACAACATTACAAATTTTAAAGAATTTAAAATTGTAATGTCCTATAGAATATGTAGAAACCCTAAGACCGACGCAAAGCAAAGGGTGTCATTACACGCATCAAAACCCATTATTCTTACTTCACACAGTCTAAATGGAGGGTGGAGGTATAAGAAGGAAGCCTTTCAATGGCTATTCATCCCTTTTACAAAGTTTGAAAAACTTTAAAAGCCGACAAAAGGTTGTCGGCTTGTCAAGTTGCTCAAAATCATGAAATTTTGAGAAATTTTTCCTTATTCAATTTTTGTAGCTAATTACCAAGAAGCGGAGTTTGATGTAACGTCAAACAAAAATATTCTATAATACTTACTATTGAAAAAGATTCTGTGAAGCAACAACAAAAGTCAGAAAATTGATAACCAAGCATGGATGGATATTTTACTTTTACTTGCTTTGGGGAATAACGTGTTTCTGACATCATAAACAAAATATCCTTATCATTTAGTATGTAGCAACAATAAATACGCTAATAGACGAATTATACAATGAATTAGATAATAGTTACATATACGATTTAAAGTTAATATAAACTTGGCCAGAAAATTATCAGCTTTATTTCCACTGAGTAACGTACAAAATCAGTCAACCGTTCCCAACAGTACTGTAAGTGAATTTCCTTCTTAAACCCCTCAATTGCAGGAAGCTCCACAGTTGAGTATCAATTTAAAAAATAAATATCACTGGCTCTACTAAATAGATTCCTATAACAATGGACAGAGGGTTTATAATCCAAAGACTACACAATTCAGACGTCCAATTGTAATTAAGGGTATTTCATTACTTCGGTACATCGGTTTTGTTTGACGAAATCGTAATCGGCAGCTCCTGTTAAAGCTAGTAGATTTGTCTTATTCATGTTTGATACTTTAAACATTTTTGACCTCCAATACGTTAATAAATAATAGAAAATTTGACTTAGAGTTATTTCATATAAGACAAGGGCCATGTAAACGGATGGAAATTTAAAAGTATAATTCTAAGGAAGATCTCAAAATAAATTTAACTACAGTCGATCTATTTTTTAAAACTTTGGTTCCATGATCAGAATTTCAATAACATCTGTAAACCTGTCAAAAAGAAATGTACAAATAATTCAAACGTACAAAAATGGATTTTATTCCAAAGCCAAATCAATTTGATCATCAGACCCAATCGCAATATACTCACTCATGTTTGCATAATTACAATTTAATGGAATGTCTATTTCTGAAAACTTAAAAAACACTAATATACACAAATGATTAAGAAAACTTTGTAAAACATCCATGTTTTATCCAAAAACCTCATCTGTTATTTATGAGTATTAAAAAATCCTCTCTCAGTTTGTGACGGCATCTAACACAGACTTTTCCGCTAATAATCTGCCGCGTGTCTCGTTAATAATGTAGCGTCCGCCGCGTGGCAGATGGCGATCTAATCAAATATTCGACAACCAGAGCATTTGTGTAGTCCACCAACTTGTCCGAGACCCATGTTGAAATAAAAGGAATCCAAAATCGCCCAATCCCGATTGACTAAACCTTATATTACTACTATCACTGAATTACTAACTAAATATTCCTACTTTTGTTCTTACACAAGAAATTATAAAATTTGATATACATATATATATTTATGGAAAGTGTATAATATGAATGTGGGTGGATGTAAAGGGAGAGGGACTCTCTAGAAAAAGATGGATGGATTGTGTGAAAGATGATATGAATAAAAGAAGAGTATGTTCAGATATGACGACCGATAGAGAGCAGTGGAAGAGAATGACATACTGCGCCGACCCCAAATAATGGGATAAAGGCAAGGCAATGATGATGATAGTGATAATTAAATGAAATCGACTAACATATATTTATCATGTTGTTTGAGTAAAAAATTTTAAGGTTACTGCTTTTTATTATATGATATCTAATAAAGTTATTGCTAGTTGAGGTTATTTGTCAAATAAAGCCATCCAGTCAAGTTGAAGTCAAAAGTTAGAACTTTTAGAAAGCTTTTTAGATATCTTACTGTTCTCTGCTGAATGTAGGCCGATTCCCCGCAGAACAGAAAGCACTCAACAACTGTATGTCAGCAATTCGACATGAAATTATATAAAAGTACCTAACTAAATTTAGTCGTTACATTTAAACATCTGTTTTTTATTAATGTTCAATTTCATTCCATTATCATATAGGTAACAATAATTTATAGTATCTATTTAAATCGTGACAAAATTATGTACATTTATGTAAGGGACAACAAAAATTAACCAGCTGAAATAAATCTACAGATATCATCAAAATATGTATTTATGTTATATAATAAATATTTCTTTATTATATATACACTGTGAAACATAGACATCCTCAACTGCAACAAGAAGCCATTCTGAGCGAACATCCATCGATGCCCTGTACGACAAACATATTTGAAATCGTATACATTATCCGATACTTCAAGCTGCGTCACGGTCTCATTTTTTTTTTAATTTATTTATTAATATTTTACGGCTCTGGATACTAGTCCTTTTTAGCCCAATATAAAGTACAAAAACTTAAAAACAATCACAATTTCTTCAGTATTGGAAATAAGTTTATAAAAAGTCTTGAATAGTACAGGCCTTGATAAGATCTCTTCTAAAGACTTTGGTACTTCATTACTATGCTCTTGAATCTCTTGAATGCTATGAATGAGTAATAATCTGTCTAGATCTTAATGGAATAAGTTTGAATAGTGCGTATTTATAAAGTAACGCTTGAACCTAAACTGTTGACACAAAAACATTTGAAATTTCAATAAGATTTTAAATAAAATAATTGTATTGGCAAATTTCCCAAAAGTTAGCAATCATTATAGTTTTATAATTTATATTAATTGCCAACTAGCAATACGCAGATGGTTCGTCAAAATAAAATTTAATAATACCACCCTAAACATTACAGAATATACTTTCAATCCTGGAAAACAAACCGAAAGTGCTTATTTGGCCAATGATGTTGAGTGCTTATTTGGCAACAATGCTTAAAGCTGACCTTATTGAACTCATGAGACGACTGAAGTTGTTTACTACCCCGACCTTATTCTATACTAACCAAAACCTTGTAAGACAAGAATTTTAAATATGCGACAACTCTGTATTATTTTTAATAGAAAAGTAATATTAAAGATCCATCCGCTGTTTTGGTTGATTCAAATATGCTTTTTTATATAACTGGAACGGCAAATATGTTGACGACCAACCTGATGGCTAGTGTCAATTGTTGTCTATATACAAGAACAAGACGCAGTCGTCATATACAGCTTCACCTGTCTATAGAGACGGGTACAGATGGCACTCCAAACCAGCGGACGGACTTATGAAGCGGCTGAAGGCTAACTCCCGCCTGACGGATAAGACTACGAGGTAAAGAAAACGACTTGTAAAAAGTTCAGTAACATGAATGCGTTCAACACAACTAATATACAGCGTATACATATACATATAGCGTAAGAAATTATATGAAGATAACATGAGTCACAGCCGTCGTTATTATCGAATCGACTAACTAACTATAGACTAACTTTGTATTCATATCTTTTACCTATTTATCATAGGGTATTAAAATCGTAAAATGTCATTTAACGTTTAAAGTATTTGGTTCACAATGTAGCAAATAGTTGCAAATATACATAATAATTATCCTAATTACATTATGAACAAGAACCTTTTAAGTCTCAGAAGGTTGTGTACACCTACATGTAAAAAGTGCAAGGTCTTAGTACAATGACATGCTTGAAATAAACTTTCTGTAACGACTACCGTTCAACACCTACACACCGACAGCATCGCAATATAATTATTTTATAACTAGTGATCGTATGGAGTATAGTATCATCTCGCAGGAGACATTTCCGAAAAATTTAATGAAAACAGTATCATTATAAGTTGAGTAGTTCAGAAGAAGTAAGAAACGGACAGAAGAAAACAACAACTTTGTATAGTACTCTATACTATTTATGGTTATGGTATTGGTACCTACGAATTACACGTGAAAAATGTGGCACCTTAACTTTGCAGTAAATAATATAGTAGGTAATATTACTTATCGATTTCTAACTACATTAATGACTTATCACTTTTATTCACTATTATAAAAATAGCGTTCAACACTGGTTATGGCTGTATTCTTCTAAGGACACCTATGAAATAAACTTAAAAGGTCGCCTGTACTGAGGTACCTAACCTCAGTCTCACCTATTTCTCGCCGCCAAGCAGCTTTCTTTTTAAGCTGAGTTTTGGTTGTAGGCTGCAGAATAGGAAGTGAATTAACAGAATAAGTAAGAGGCATGCCATATTAGTCGTCTGTAATGGCAATGCCTGAACGGTATCACAGGTGTGATATGATAACATGATGTACATGAATTTAGGCGACAGTTACCATCGGGTAGGGAGTCTGCTTGTTTACCATTCCAATTACAAAAAAAAATAGAATTAAGAACTGCCT